GAGGCTAGGAGGATAGTGGAGAGCACGGACGTGGCTGCTCCCTCATATGCACAAGTGACGAAAGTCCGGTCGCCGGTTGACAATGTCGCAGTCAAGGATGCTTCTGTTCAGGTGTCTGAAGACATACCTGCCTGGGGCTCACAAGTCCCAGACAGGGCTGGCCAACTGAACTTGAAAATCCTCATGGGAGACCCATCCCGATTCACGACTATAACCAAACCAACTAAAAACAACAAACAGTAAAAAGCAGCATCACCATCAAAACAGCATCTTCATCAAAACCAGCACCACCATCAAAAACACCTTCCTCTTCAGGAGAAAACCCGCCAAAGGTTGGCCCATCTAGGGCACATATGCGTTTGTAGCGATCTCGCTCACTCACAATTGTTCCTCGATCCCAACTGAGGCAAGAGGCAACATCACCTACCAACAGACCTAGGAAAAAAATTAAAATAGCCAGGGGCAAATCTGATGGGCCAGATCTGAATGTCACCTTTGGCAAAGGATCAGAGGACCCAACAAACCGGTTCAATGTCCTACTGGATTTCGATGATGATATGGAGACGAATGACCCAGCGCTTCGTGCTTCGACTTCATCGAAATCAAGCCAAAATAGAAAATAATAAATAATACAATTATCCAATGGAACTTCCGCGGATTAAAGGCAAATATAGAAGAATTTCAGAATCTATCAAAAGAATTTAGACCCGCCACTTTTTGTCTACAAGAAATCATGCTAAAAAACCCAATCACTCTTGAATTTTTTCACTCTACACTAACATTCCAACTGTAAAATATTCCTCACAGAATGATCAAGTGTAACACAAATTTACAGGCTGTTGCTGTCTGTGCAACATTACCCAGACAAATAACCGTCTGGTCAATTTATCTCCCTCCGAGTATTGTTTTCACTTGTGAGCAACTCAATAACATCGGCTCCCAACACCATTCATAATCCTCGGTAATTTTAATGGTCATAATAGCCTGTGGGGCTCTCCCAACACAGACGAGAGAGGAAGACGTATTGAGGAATTTATATTTAAAAACAACTTGTGCCTTTTTAACAACAATACCCATACCTATTTACACCCTGCTACAGGCTCTCGTACCCACATTGATCTATCACCATGCCATTCTTCCATTCTGCTCGATTATGACTGGAAGGTAATTAAGGATCTTTGAGGGAGCGACCACTTCCCAACTTTTCTTAAGAATATTGGTACTCCTATTGATGATCCTCTTCCGCGATGGAGTGTGCACAAAGCAGATTGGGTCCAATTCCAACACATGTGCATTGAAAAACTAACCACAGAAACTTTTACTGAAGCACTAGCTTCTATTGCCCAAAAGACAATTCCAAAACCCGTTCCAAAACCTACGAAGTTCCTTTTATCAGAAGAATCTTTTAAAACACGCAGTGATCGGGCAGCTGCTCTAAGACGCTACTTGAATTGCCCAACTGCTTCAAACTACAGTGATTTTAAATTTTGCCGGGCAAAGGCTCGACGATCAATTAAAATTGAAAAAAAGAAACATCTGGAGAGAATATGTATCAAAAATATCATCAAACATGTCCTCCAAAAAGGTATGGGATACGATTCGGAAAATAAGTGGGAAAAAGAAAAAGTCAACATCCTCCCACCTCATTAATAAAAACAAAATTGTTTCGTCTAGGCCTGGAATTGCTGATGCATTTGCAAAAAACATAGCTAAAAACTCATCCCCTTTAAACCACTCCCGAAAATTCCAGTCTTTAAAGAAAAAAAGAGAAAAGACACGGCTCAATTTCAAATCATCAAACAAAGAAAGTTATAATGAGCAATTTACTCTACCAAAACTTGTTGATTCGCTTCGAAAATCACAGGACTCTGCTTCAGGTCTTGATGATATTCCATATCAATTTCTAAAGCACTTACGGACTCGTCACTAACATGCCTTCTTTACATAATCAACCAAGTTTACGCTTCCGGAAAGATTCCCGATTCGTGGAAGAACTCAACAATTATACCTATCCCAAAACCGGGAAAGGATGCTTCTAACAACTATCGTCCCATCTCTCTGACTAGTTGAGTATGTAAAACTTTAGAACGAATGATAAACACAAGACTGGTTTGGTTTCTTGAGGCCAACGATATAATATCCCCTCTTCAAAGTGGTTTTAGAAACAGAAGAGGGACAAATGACCATCTCATCAGATTAGAGACGTTCATTAGAGAGGCTTTCGCCAAGAAAGAACACGTTGTCGCCGTGTTCTTTGATCTTGAGAAGGCCTATGATACCACATGGCAGTATGGCATCATGAAAGATCTTCACGACCTTGGAGTACGTGGAAACCTTCCCAATTTTATATCTAATTACCTATCAGATAGACAGTTCAAAGTCCGTGTTGTTTCAACTTTTTCTGAAACGTTTAAACAGGACATGGATGTCCCACAGGGTGGAATCCTATCAGTCACCCTGTTTGGCCTTAAAATCAATGAAATAGTCAAATGTCTTGGTCAATCAACAAAAGGGTCGTTATTTGTGGATGACTTCTTGATCTGTTACAGATCTAAGAACATGCACACGGTAGAACGACAACTTCAACAGAGTTTAAACAAACTACAAAGTTGGGCAGACGAAAACGACTTCAAATTCTCTAAATCAAAAACTGTGTGCATGCATTTCTGTCAGAAACGAAAAGCACACACAATGACCCAAATCTTACACTCGATGTCACTAGAATTCCTGTTGTTGAACAGACTAAATTTCTCGGCCTCATTTTTGATTCGAAACTCTCTTTCATACCACATATAAAGTATCTGAAGGATAAGTGTTCCAAGGCGTTAAACATTATACGAGTCCTTTCTCATACTGATTGGGGAGCGGATCGGGAAATGCTTTTGCGCCTATACAGATCACTTATTCGAACAAAACTGGATTATGGTTCTATGGTATACGGGTCAGCGCGCAGTTCGTACCTTCAGATGCTAGA